AGGTATATAAGTTGAAAAAACATCTCTGCGAAAAGTTACATGAGTTATGCAATCGATAATCGTGAAACTTTAATAATCGGTCTTAACCCAGTGGGCCGGAAATGATCGACGATCACGTGATCTCGACATTTTTGCGCCATGACTAGTCTAGTAAAATAAAATTACCATCGGCCAATAAGATTGCATATTACACTGGGTGCGCGGTGTACTATGCAAATCAAGTTTAACGTTGATAACTAATAATAGATGTTTGGGTAAAATTTACAAAGACCAGTATTACGTTTCTACAAAGCTATAAAGCCTTTTTTTTTTGTTTAAGAAAAAAAAATAATATATATTGTATATTAAATTTTTTTTTATATTTAAACAAAGGAACTAAAGAAATGGCACTATGGCTTTATTTGAAAGATGTTGTAACACGATGTTTTGTCTCAAGTCAAGTATTCTATTTATCTATAGGTTATTAAGCAAAAATTATTATTTCGTAGTCTATATTTATGTGAATTACTCTACTAACGCTATCTAATAATTACTACATTCCTTATTTGCTGCTCTAATTTATTACACTATTATTGCATTATTTGACTTTTACCTATTACCTCATATTTCGGTGGACAATCCCGATTCTCGTTCATCACGATTGTGCTCATTACACGAATTACGATCGTTGTGCATAATGAATGATCTATTTCTCTACAGATGTAATATTGACCTTTGTAAAATTTTATCATTAATAATTAATAATCTAAAATCATAACTGTTTTAGATTTATGAAGAAATACAGCAAGAACAAGAAAGTTAGATAAGACGAGAATTAATCTAGATCTAGGAAAAGCAAAAAAGGAAAACTAAGAAAAGTATATAGCAAAACTAGAGAAGAAAACACAGGTCAAAATAAAGTATATCGGGTTCATATCGGCATTTTTTAATCCCGATATGGGCCCGATATTAAACAGAAATTTGGCAGAAATCGGATACTAATAGGAGACCAATCAGGGTTATATTGGCATAAATACATATCAGTAATACCGATAGCTCTATAAAATGTCGATAGAGCTATCGGATATAATGTCAATAACTATATCGACATTTTTATAGAGCTATCGGTATTACCAATATGTATTTATGCCGATATAACCCTGATTGGTCTCCTATTAATATCCGATTTCTGCCAAATTTCTGTTTAATATCGGGCTCATATCGGGATTAAAAAATGCCGATATGAACCTGATATACTTTATTTCGACCTGTGAAATAAAGAAAGAACAAGAAAAGATAAACTCAAAAAAGCTAAGTCTACAAAAAGAAAGAAACTTTAGAAAAAAAAAATAGAGAATCTATGAAATATAATAGAAATCAAAATTTGAAAAGCAGCAAACTTAACTCTGCTAAGAAAAACAAAACTGTCTAAAATTAAAAGAAATACAGTAATATTAGCAAAATTAGCAAAACAGAGAAAAAATATATATAACTTAGACAAGTGGTATATAAAAATAAAGAAAAATAGAAGTTTAAAAAAAGACAAAAAAGTCACAAAAAAGGTATAAAATTTAATAGACAGAATTTACATTAGATGAAAACTGAAAAGACAAAAATGATAGAAAATTAGAAAGCTAAAAAGAAAAGCAAAAAGAAATCACATATGAAAAAACAAAACTTTGGTGGAGAATTTTATAAAAAGATTAGAAGAAAAAAAAATAAAAAAAAAAAGAAAAAATATAAGATTGTATTAAAACAAGTTATAAAATAATTCTTACAAATCAGAAAAAAAGTATTAAAATAGATTGAATACTTAAAAAAGAGAACAAAAAAAACTTTTAATAAAAGAAAATGAAATATTCAAGACCACTTTGAAAAATAATTCTAAGATAAAAATATAAACTTAGAAAGAATGAGTATAAAGTAAAAAGAAATATATACTAATTACTAAAAAGTTTTAAAAAAAGAATAGAAAGAAGCTCTAAAATAAACTAAAAATAATTCAGTATTAAAATTAGTATTTCAAAGTTTAGTTTAGTTTAATTTAGGTTTAGATTCAAGTTTAATTAAACCTAAACTGAACTTTAAATTTTGCAAATCTTTAAACCTAAACTTGAACTAAACTTTAAATTTATAAACCTAAACTAAACCTGAACTTGATTTAAAAGTTTAATATTAAACCTAAACTAAATTTTTTTTAAAAAATATTCAAGTTCAAGTTTAGTTTAGTTCAGTTTATAGAAACACTAATCAGGATTCATAGATATTATATACTTTTTGTTTAAATAAACAAAAAAAAAACTAAAAAGAAATTTAAAAGTTTGGTAAGCAAATGCCTAGCAGAAGGATATATATTAAAGAAATAGAAAGATCTTCTTTAATATAAATAGATATATATACTGTAAATTATTATAAGATTATAATATAGGTAGATTTATATAAATTATTACAAGATTATAATATATAAATCTAATTAATTTAAACTAATTTAAATTCTAACCTTAATTCTAACTCTAATAATTTATAAAATTATTTAAATTAGTTTAAAATATTAAGTTATATATTATAATTGTATAATAATTATATATACCGAAGGTGTGGCAACTTAGTATAGTTGGTAAGTTGTTGCACCTCCAAGTGGCAGAAAAAGAGTTTGAATTCTATCATCGACGAAATTCGAATTAGCAGAAATACGTTACAGTAAAACTGTATAACATATCAATTGGGTCAGCACCTGTAACCTTGGTCTCACCAACTCATATTAGGAGGTTGTAGAACATAATGTAATATATGAGTTATACAAAACCCAGATGAAGCAGCCAAATAAATCTAAGAGATTGGGGGATACAGAAGCCTGCTTAGAAAGTCCTGAGTAGAGAGGTAGTACAGATTTTTGACAATGCTATATAAAAGATTATTATCTGGAGAACCAGACACCGAAGATAAACTGAACGAGAACTGAGTATTTGGCAAATACTACACCAACCAGGCCACCAGATTAGCCAGAGGAAAAAGAATTCTTTCAGAATATCAGGAAACACCTACTGGTCCCTTCTGAACTATCTGGATTGGAAGTTTAGGATGCTGATGGTTGACATCGATAGAGATGGTAAAGTTCAGTCTGGTCCAGCTTGGTCCAATAATTTACAGATCCTAATATATAGACTTATAGACCAAGTCTTTTATAACTAGTCCTAAAACTTTTATTAACTTAAGTTCGATTCAGAACTTGGTCCAGAACCTAGTCCTAGATCTAGGTTTATCTTATATTCACACTCAAATTTTATTTATATATTATATATAGTATAACTTAATATATTAAACAACTGAGGTAAATCACCACCTAAAAAAATTTCAGGTTAGGATTTACATCATTCACATATTCAAAAAATTTACTTTTTATAGAATTTTATTTAAAAAAATAGCTATTTGTACATGGGGTGTTTAAATACAGGTATTAATTAATTAATTTACAAATTCATATAAGTTAAAAATTAAATCTGATTTAATGTTATGGTAGGGTTGGCTTTAGGGTCAGAAAAGATTATAATTTATGCTAAAATTATGCAAAGAATCTTTTTGCTAGAACCTAAAAGTGTGTTTCATAATCAAAATTTTAAGAAATCAACATACCTGTGTTCAAACACCCCATATACAAATAGTAATTCCCTTTATTTAATAAGCATTGTATGATTATTGATATATTGTAATTATTAAATCGTATAATCTGAATTTTTTTTTAAACCCGGCTTTATTATCATTATTGTTAAAATTTATAAAATCCCAAATCCCAATTCAACACTTTTTTAGATTGTTCAAATAAAAAATAAAGAAAAAAATAAAATAAAGAGTATGGTTTGAAATACATAGTAGCAGCTTAGCTTTATACCATATACATATAAAATGCTCAGAGCATTTCTACTAAAGAAAGAAAAAAAAATGAATGAATGAATAAAAGAAAAAAAAAAAAAAAAAGAACAAACATAAAAAAGAACAAACGAAAGAAAGAAAAAAAAAAAATTTTTCAAAAAAAAAAAAAAAAATTCAAATACTTAAAGGCTGCTAGCACCAATTCAAATTACCAAAGCAAAAATTTTAGATCAAAGTTGATTTGTTTAGAGATTACAAGCAAAATGGCGATATCATTTTTAATTTAATTTAATATTTGCTTACCTTATGCTTTATATTCTTCAATCCTATTGTCAATCTAACTTTTAGCATATAAAGATGCTTTTGATGTTTCTGGGTGAAGACGGTTTCGAGTTTTTGATATTGTATTTGTTGCTACTGAGAAAGCCTGTTCACAGGCTATGCTAGTCGCCTGGATTGACAAATAGTCTTTTGCTATTAATGCTAATATAGAAAACTCCTTATGCGCTTTTCATTATAACAAAGATGTAATATTTTTATTATATGGCAAAGCTAAGTATTAAACTAATTCAACAGTTTGGTATTGGCTAATTCTAGAAGTTTGTTCAGAATGATGCTGCATAATTCTATTAAAATAATCTCGTGTTGTACTAATTTCATCAAATATGCTTAATTTAAAAATTAGGTTAAGTGACTCAAGACAATATATATCAAATATCTCACTAATTTCATTAATTGCATCAGTAGTTGGTTGTCCTCTTTCAAACAGTGATAATTTTGTTCTTGGATCAAGAATTGTTGCTGTAGTTATTGCATTATCAATTATATCTTTATATTCATCAATTTTTTGATTAATTGATGCTGCTAACAATTGACCAAAAGTATTATCATCAATACATTTTTGAAAATATTCTTGGATTCTAGTGAACAGAAAACGGACATCAGTGATTATTGGATATGAAGATGCAGATAGCATTACCATGACTTTTTCTAATAGCTTTATTAATTCAAGTAACTCCTAATTAGACAATTTAATTTAACACTTAGTAAGGCTAAGAAAGGTGTGAAAGAAACTGGGAAACAAACAACGAAGTTTATTTTTTAGTTTTTATAATTAAAACAATATGGGTAGCCTTTTCTTTTTTAAAAAAATAACAACTATTAATATAAGTACTAATTTATACCTTAATTTTATCCCATGTTTCTGATGAAGGCATTAAAAATTGAATATCATCATGACTAATCACAAGCATCCGTAATGCTACTTGTATACGAAGCATTTTCTGTAACATATAGTATGTGCTGTTCTATCTCGTTTCAATATCCAACTCAGGTTTTAAGTAATCTAATTTTTGTACAGTGCATAATTCTCTTAATTCATCGTATAACCTTGTTGATACCTTTATTTTTGACATTAATACACGAACATTAATAATTTCTGAGTCAATAATTTCTAATCCATGACGTGCTACTAAATTTAGAATATGTGTAGTACATCTATAATAGTGAAAGGTTTAGTTATTTAACTCTTTTTGTAAATCACTTGCTAAAATTCGACCACAAACTATCATAGCAGACTCATTATCAGTTGTAAGTGCCAATATTTTATTAGTAAGTTTAAACTCTGCCAAAGTATTATTTATAGCTGCTGCAATATTTTCTCCTATATGACGTATTGTAAAAGGAATAATATCTAATAAAAATCTGCAAAAACTTTACTGATGGTCTATATAGTGAATTGTAATCCCAAGAAAAGCTTCGTGATTGATGGTTGAAGTTCACATATCTACAGTTAAGAAAACTTTACTTGCAATATGATGTAATTTATTAATTATCACATTTCTTTGAGTATTAAAATATTTAAGAACTATATCTTTAATTTGATGTCGATAAGGAATTTGGTAATATAAATCAAATACTTTTAACATTTTAACAAACATTCTATTTTCCATGATACAAAATGATTGCTGATCTGATATTATCTATTTAATTAGAACATTATCATATTCTTCTTTTTGTTGTTTAAGCCAGGGATCAATGCTTATAAATAATAACTAGATTTGATATTTTTTTAATTTTGGAACTATAATATTATGTTAACATTTTAAATGTCTTTCTAAACTTGAATTTCCAGTTTTTCTGAAAATTTGATATTACATTTCTTACAAATTAGAGAATTCAGATCTTTAGGGTCATATTTAAAATATTGCTATAAAGGTGAGGGTCAGTTTGAAGATTTATTTGAAGTAGTTAGAACAGAAGAATTTATTTCTAATATTTGAGTTAGTTTGCTTAACTCATCATCAGAATAATTATTAGATTCAGTATCTTCAATATCTATATCCATAGTAATGCTATTAGATTCACAAAATTGCAGAGACTCATCAATTTATATTTTATTTTTATAATGCGATGGTTATTATAATTTTTATTATTTGATTCAAAAATTTTTAAGACAATAGATCTATGATTATCAGATATAATATTGTTTCATTATTATTTTTTTTTTTTATATACAATATTATTAATAAACTAACTAATTTACATTCTTTTTTTATTCTCTAGACTTGAGCAAATCATCCTATACAGGTTTATGTCATCATTATACATATTTTTTCATTCTATAATACAATTATCCAAATAGAATTGGTATTAGCTATTATGAAAGGAACCACCACTTATTACAAAATATAGCCTCCCTTAGAGTTTATTATTTGGTAATTACAAGTTCTAAAGTAATCAATGATATAAATTAAGGAAACTTTTTATTTGCCCAGCAAACAAAGGATTTCCTTAATTATATTATTGATTACTTTAAAACTTGTAATTGTTAAATGACAAACTTTGGGAGGAGGCTATATTTATATAATAAGGAACAGTTCTCTTAAGATATGTGAATATAGTTACTAGCCATTGTTACCAAAATAGAACTAAAAAGAATAAAACAATTGCTATTAGAATTAGATGAATAAGAAATTTCAGGTGTAATACAATTCTCGAAAACTATTCTCTTGAAAAATATAATACTGAGAAATTTAGCAGACAATAGTTATAGTATAATGCTATATAATTTAGTCGATATTATGTTTTTCAGGAAAATAACTTTCAGAAAATTGTATCATTAGGGCGCTGTCCTTATTATGTAAATATAGCCTTCCCCAAAGTTTGTTATCTAACAATTACAAGTTCTAAAGTAATCAATGATATAAATTAAGGAAATTTTTTATTCGCCCAGCAAACAAAGGATTTCTTTAATTATATCATTGATTACTTTAGAACTTGTAATTGTTAAATGACAAACTCTGAGGAAAGGCTATATTTACAAGATACGCAAATATAGTTACTAGCCATTGTTACTAGAATAGAACTAAAAAGAATGAAACAATTGCTATTAGAATTGGATGAATAGAAAATTTCAGGTGTAATACAATTCTCAAAAGCCATTCTCTTGAAAGATATAATACTAAGAATTTTAGCAGACAATAGTTATAATACTGTCTAATTTAGTCAATATTATATCTTTTTAGAAAAATAACTTTCAGGAAATTGTATTATTAAAGTGCTGTCCTTATTAGGGCTCTGACATTTATTATCTAATATTCATTTATTATAGAGCTCTATCCCTCACCCCCAGATAATATTTTTATTAACTAATTAAATTTTAGTATTATATTGAGGTAAGGTTTGGCTTTACCCCCAATCCGCTAAAATATTATCTAATAAATGTCAGCACTCTTACGTAAATATAGCCTCCCCCAGAGTTTGTTATCTGACAATTACAAGTTCTAAAGTAATCAACAATATAAATTAAGAAACTTCTTTGTTCACTAAGTGAATAAAAAATTTTCTTAATTTATATCATTGATTACTTTAAAACTTGTAATTATCAGATAACAAACTCTGGAGAAGGCTATATTTACGAATAAGCAACAGTTCTTTTATCTAAATTTTATTAGAATCTTTTTTTTAAAAATGGAAAAGATATATTCTTTGTTACCAAATCACATTTAATGGCAAATTAGACTTTATTTTATCATCTTGTTTAATATCAGAAAATCTAAAATCATTAATGTTGAGATCTTTAATACAAGAAATATTCAAACCTCAATAAAGCCAAAATTGTCATTTAATAATGGCTATTTATACATATATTTTAAAGTTATTTTTTTCAAATATACTATTAATTGATTTGGTTAAACTCTAATGATTTATATACTGCTTATTTCTTGATGTATTATTCTATTTTACATACCAGAAAGTTTTCAAAAATGGAATTACATACCAATAAAGCACATGCATCTGTATGCTTTATTCTTTATATATATTCTTTTCATTTAAAATATAATATCTGAGTGCATAATCTTATTTAAAATTTATATACAAATTATCATGAATTGTATGCTTTTGTAAGGATGTTAAATGCTCTTGAGTTGTTTCAAATCGACTTCAAGATAGTATTATAAGCTGATTAGAAGCTAGTCATATTGTATTTTTTGTAATTTTTATTGAGCAATTAGCACATTGTTTTATACAGGTCAGCAATTACTATGTACAAACTTACTGTTAAGAATAAATTATCTTTAACCAATCAAGTAAAAATAGCTCCTTAATAACTTAGTCAACTACGACTATTAGTCAATCGGCAATACTACTTCAAGAAATTTACTGTGTATATGCATATGTGTATATATACATACTATGTATTATATTAAAACAGATGCATCTAACTTATTTAATTGAGTAATGAATTATTTATATATAGAATAAATTTATTTGAATTTTTTATATTAGGACTTTTTAAGAACTTAATGGATTTAGGTCCCAAAATTAAGACCTGGTTTTTGAAAATTGAGTCCAAAGACCAGGTTCTAAAGTCCAGGACCTAAGGATTTTACTAACTCTAGTCATGGCCATGCCATCATGGCATGCCAATGGTGGCATACCATATGGTATGCTCAAAACAACAATAGTCTATAGGCATACCACTTATATAATACATCTCACTCTAACTAAACAGATATTTGGATATTCTGAAATATTCTGAGTAGAAAATTAGACAACATAAAATTACAAGAGAAAATTGAAGCAAAGGTCTGAAATATTCTAGAAGATAGACCAATTATATTATGCTATGCTAATAGCATACCTATAGTATAGCATAGCATAAATTTTGCCTAATGGCATGCCAAATTTTTTTGCTATGCCACACATCTTAACTAATACTAATCTTTTTTCTTTTTATAGATTTGCTTTGCTAGAATATTAGATATAGTCTAATCTTCCTAAATGCAATGTGTACAGATTAGTTAAAACTATACATTTAGAGAGGTTTGCATTTAGAGAAAGCCAGTCAAATTGCAGTTTTTAATATTTGATCTACAAGTTTGTGCAATATAATTTAATACTAAATTCTGATTGGCTATGTGTATTTAGGAAGGTTAGTATAATATAAAAATCTTTTGAGTAAACTTGCATTTACAGAATATAGAATGTGTATTTAGCACTAATAATTTTATATAGCCAAAACAAAAATATATATCTAAAGAGATATTGCATTTACAGAAGTTGCATTTAGGAAGGTTTGACTATAGTAGAAATTGAATTAGGATCTTGCAAGATGAGTAATTTTCTTCATTATTTGTTTTTTTTTTTAAATTAATATAATTTTTTTTATAAGTATATTAGATTAGAATCAAGATTTTATAAAATAAGTGATCTTTTTCATATGCTTTTTTTTCTTAATATTAACTTGTCTTTTTTTGTAGGTTTATTAAATGATATCACTGTTGTGATTGTCATTATATATTGATGCTGTTATTTGTGAAGATTTTGGACTTTTGCTATGTTTGGACTTTTATTATTTTGGTGCTATCGTTTACAGAGATTTCAGGCCTTTATTGTTCTAATACTGTTATTTGTAAAGATTTGGTCTTTTGTTGTTGTTTATAGAAATTTCAGATTCTTATCATTTTAGCATTATTGGTTTCAGTTTTTATTACTTTGGATATTATCATTATTAAGGTTTTTTCAGAGTATAGAATCAGTATTAAAAATGGTAGGTGATTTAGTTTCTTCTTTTTTTCCTTATTACGTTCTAATCACTTCTTTTCTCTTTGGGTTCATATAAGTTTCACTGAAATGAAATATATATATGTTATTGTTATAGAATAAGTTGTAGTATTAGTTTTATTATTAAGTTTATTATTAGTTATTATTAGTTATATTATTAGTATTATTATATTATTAT